CATAGGTATAGTCCCTGTCATTTATAGTTAACGTATTTTCACATATTTACACTTCCTAGTCCTCTGGTTCTTGTTTTCTTTTTGGTCCCTCTTTGAGCCTTCAGTGTAGGAATTATGTTGATGTGTTCATTGGTGTTTCATGGTCGGTTGGTCTCTGAATTGTGATTAGCTATGGCTTTTGGAAACGTTCTCTGCTGCAGACACACTTCTTTGATGACAGGGAAAAGCTGCACTTATCTTTGGTGTGCATACTGGGGTGCAGCCATCAGGGAATCCTTTGCCCACCTGACAGGAACAAAAGGTCTCAAGGGGATTGGGTATGGCCAGAACAACCAAAGTGTTACAGTTCTTTGAGGGGAAGCCAGAGCAAGGCAGGCTGAAAGGCCTCTTCAGAGACTGCTGCTGCTGCCTGACATGAGATGCAGAGGACAGCTAGGGGCCACTACACCAAGAGGCTGTAGTCAAGCAAGCACACTCGGTTGGTTGGGCCAGGTCGAGTCCAGTGAAGAAAGCTTTGGGAATGAAAACTCTTCCCTGGAGTGTTACAGTTCAATAAGACAGGTAATTTCAGACAATCTTTAGTGAAATAACTTGTGCACTTTATTCCTTATAGATAGGACATTATAAACATTTGAGGGTGGGGTGGGATCTAGAGGCAGATGCTTTCTGCTGGCTTTGAGATGTTAGGGATGCCTCATCTGCATGTGGAAGGACTTCAGGTATTGTTCCATTTGGAAATGATCATAATTTTGAACAGGGAGAACACTAAAGAGAGCTTAGACTTGGGGATTTCTGTCTTTCCTTTCCTCTCCTTTATCCTTTCTTTCTGAGGTAAAGGAAGGGGGTTGAAGGGAAAAGGGGAATAGAGTGATAGAATAAAAAATTAGATATATGGGATGGATTACTAAAATTATTCTCAAAGCATTGTATAGCCATTTTATATTGGTAGAAATCTTGTATTTGATGCAAACTTGAAGTTATTAATTCCTTACATTGGTACAGAATTTATATATTGATACAGGTTTAGGGTTTTCATTGGTATAAATCTTTGTATATTGATACAAAATATGAAATTAATATTGTTATGCTCAGACAGGCATTGTACCTATGCAACTCATTTAAGAATATAAGGCTTTGGCTGGGAGTTGGTGGCGCACACCTTTAATCCCAGCACTTGGGAGGCAGAGGCAGGTGGATTTCTGAGTTCGAGAGTTTGAGGCTAGCCTGGTCTACAGAGTGAGTTCCAGGACAGCCAGGACTACACAGAGGAAAAAAAAAAAAGAATATAAGGCTTTGACCCAGTCCTTCTAATAGCTGCTATTACAAACTGTTTAGGATGATTAAGTAATGCAAGTTAAAGGCTGGATAGTAAACTCACGGTTATATTAGATTCTGATTTAATTATAATAAAGTGCTTTCATTATTATTCAGCTAGAAATACCTAAGAGTTTAATAGTTTATATATACTATAGTCTTCAAAAGCATCAGAAATACACAGATTGTGAAATTTCATTATTAATAGAATTTTGACTAAGAGTCATGTCTGCTCCTGACAGTACCCTTACCCTTCAAGGTTCAAAGAAGATATTGAGCATTATAACCTCCATATAGTTGCTCCAGTTGTGGCAAGGTAGCCACTGGGCAAGAATTGCCCTAATTTATCTACAGACAAAAAGTACTGTCCGGGAAAACACACAATACAGGATAGTTGACAGCTTAGCTCTGCCAAAACAGAGTAAACTAGTCCTTCATAATTCCTGCTTCACTTAAGGTCTGTCAGATGGTTCTGGGCCAGAAGGCTTAAGACAGAAACATTTCTGGGTTAAAAATTTTGAGATTCGTGGGTGGCACCATCCTTCAACTGGGGGCAGTGCCTATCTACTGGAAGTGGTCTCTACAGGTTGTATCTCTGCTTTGTTGGGTATTTCAGCTGAAGTCATCACTATTGGGTCCTGGGAGCTTCTCGCTTCCCTAGCATCTGGGACTTTCTAGTGGCTGCCTTCAGCTCTCCATGCCCCACTGCTACATGTTTCTATTCCATTTCCTGACACTCTGTATTTCTCTCCTGTCCCTTCCAATGCCTGATCCTGCCCCTCTCCCTGTTCCTCAGATAGAACTAGTTGTAATTTTTCGAGGAACAGCCAGATTGATTTACCAGCTTTCAGTCCCACCAGCTCTGAAGGAGTGTTCCTCTTTCTCCACATCCTTGTCAGCATGTTGTCACTTGCGTTTCTGATCTTAGCCATTCTGATTGGTGTGAGGTGGAATCTCAGGGTCATTTTGATTTAATTTCCCTGACAACTAAGGATGTTGAACATTTCTTTAAGTGCTTCTCAGCCATTCATGATTTCTTGGTTGAGAATTCTTTGTTTAGCTCTGTACCTCATTTTTAATAGGGTTATTTGGTTCTCTGAAGTCTAACTTGTGTATTTTGGATATCAGCCCTCTAAGATGTAAGGTTGGTAAAGATCTTTTCCCAATCTGAGTTGAGAGTGTCCCATTGAGAGTGTCCTTTGCCTTACAGAAGCTTCAATTTTGTGAGGTCCTATTTGTTGATTGTTGATCTGAGCTTGAGCCATTGGTGGTGTTCAGAAAATTTCCCACTGTGCCAATGTGTTTGAGGTTCTTTCCCACTTTCTCTTCTATTAGATTCATCATTATCTGGTTTTATGTGGAGGACCTGATCTAAGTAGATTTTCGCTTTGTACAAGGAGATAAGAATGGATCAATTTGCATTCTATATGCTAACCACCAGTTGAACCAGCACCATTTGTTGAAACTTTTTTCCACTGGATGACTTTGGCTTCTTTGTCAAAGATCAAGTGACCATAGGTGTGTGGGTTTATTTCTGGGTCTTCAATTCTATTCCATTGATATACCTGCCTGTCTCTGTACCAATACCATGTAGTTTATCACTGTTGCTCTTAGCACAGCTTGAGGTCAGGTATGGTGACTCCCCCAGAGGTTCTTTTATTGTTGAGAATGGCTTTCGTTATCCTAGATTTTTTTGTTATTCCAAATGAATTTGAGAACTGCCTCTATCTCTGTGAAGAATTGAACTGGAATTCTGACAGGGATTTGCATTGAATCAGTCGATTGCTTTTGATAAGATGGGCATTTTTACTGTTAATCCTGCTGATCCATCAGCATGGGAAATCTTTTCATCTTCTGAGGTCTTCAATTTCTTTCTTCAGAGACTTGAAGTTTTTGCCATACAGATCGTTCACTTGCTTGAATTCTTGATCTTGCCAATACTTTTCATGAAGGGGAGTTGTATTTTGTCAAAGGCTTTTCCAACATCTAATGGGATGATTATGTGGGTTTTTTTTTCTGAGTTTGTATATATAGTAGATTATGTTGATAGATTTCTATATACTGAACTATACCTGCATCCCTTTGATGAAGCCTTCTTGATCATGGTGAATGATTCTTTTGATTCAGTTTGCAAGAATTTTATTGAATATTTTTGCATCAATATTCATAAGGGAAATTGGTCTGAACTTCCCTTTGTTTGGTTTTGGTATTAGTGTAACTATGGGTTCATAGAAAGGATTGGGTAGTGTTCCTTCTGTTTCTATTTTGTGAAATAATTTGAGAAGTACTGGTATTAGGTCTTCTTTGAAGGCCTGATAGAATTCTTCACAAAAATCATCTAGCCCCAGGCTTTTTTTGTAGACTTTTAATGACTGCTTCTATTTTCTTAGGGGTTATGGGACTGTTAGTTGGTTTATCTGATCCTGATTTAAATTCGGTATCTGGTATGTCTGGAAAATCTTCCAATGAAAAGGGAGACATAACAAAAGGAATGGAGGAAATTTAAAAAAAAAATCAGATTCTATTACAAAGGCCTATGCTCAACAAAACTGGAAAATCTAGATGAAATGGAGGACTTTCTAGACAGATACCAGCACTTTTCTTATTCTCTTAGCTTACATATCATCTGCCATATTAGCACTGGTTGAGAATTCACTACCCAGGATGTAAGTGTTGGCAAGACAAAGACATTATGTTGTTAGTTTCTGCAAAGGAGACATCACTTAATTTTTCATCCTTGTGATTTTAGCAATTTGTTACAGGTGTCACAAATTTATAGGGCTAAGTTCCATTATTTCCTCCTCAGCTTGCTGAGAATTTGATTATGCTTCTTGAGGTGGTCTTGTACATCCAGCTCTGGTTTATATTTCTTGGATCTGTAGGCTTGCAGTTTTCATAAAATATAGCAAGTGGTCTTGCAAGTGGATAGACAGATCTTGATGCCTGGCATCCTGTCGACAAAGTAATTTTTTCCAATTCCATATAGATGAGAATTCTAACTCCAAGACTGAGTCCATGACTTGAGATAGTAAGTCTGAGCCCATTGTAGATTGAGCCCATTGTAGATATTTTTCTGTTAATTGCACTTCTAGGGAAGAGCTAACACATTAACACTACCCACAGTATTCCAGGAGTTATGGGGCAAAAAGACAAAGAATAAACATGAAAAGTGCAGCCACAGGGCGTGGTGATTTATGCCAGTAATCCTAGCATGTGGAAGACTAAGGAAACTTTTTAGTCAGATACTTGAATGAACAAGGTCTAACCATGAGGGAAGTCAGACTTTAGCTTTTCAGGGTTTGTTTGGTTTGGTTTTTGTGACAGTGTTTCTCTGTGTAGCCTTGGTTGTCCTGGAACTCATTGTGGAGACTGGGCTGGCCTCAAACTCACAGGGATGTGCCTACCTCTGCCTCCCGAGTGCTAGGACTAAAGACATGTGCCACCACTGCCCAGCCGGCTTTTCAGTTTTGACAGTCCATTCATCATGTGCTTAGCTCCAGATTTTTGTTTCTTTTATTGTTAATCTTCTAATCCTTACATGCTACTCTACCATTTCTTCTAAGGGTAAAAATGAAGGGATCAAACTCATGACTGGAAGACTACTACTGCTCACATGACTGTAGGCTTTAAAATGACACCAGAATAGACACTCAAATTTGAACCAGTGAAATAACTGGACAGATACGTGGATAGTAAAATAGACTTGTTTAGAAATTCATGACTAATACATTTTGAGGGAGAGAAGACATTCAAGATGATATATTCCTAATTTACAAAACAGATAGTCAAGACTGGGGTAGAAAATAAAGGAGCAAAACAGAGGGCTGAGTGCTGAGGGCTGAGAAAGAAATACATATTGAGGCTTGGTCAGGCTTCCACAGAGAGCTTCAGAAGTCAATAAAGTGTGGGTTGGAGATTCGTTATCGGGATCCTGGATCCTACATAGTAGGGGTAATTTAAAATACAAAAAATCATGGCAATTGTGAGATATTTAATTTCAAACATGCTATATAGTGTTATGGAAATGATTTAAAATGAGAAAGTAAAACCAATGGCAGTTAACATCTACTATCTGAAGAAAAATAATGAATAAGGCAATTTAAAAATAGTGTTAGTTCTTACAAAATTTAGTTTTAAGAATTTTATCTGCCGGGCAGTGGTGGCACACACTTTTGATCCCAGCACTTGGGAGGCAGAGGCAGGTGGATTTCTGAGTTCGAGGCCAGCCTGATCTACAGAGTGAGTTCCAGAAAGTGTTTAAAAAAGTTTTAGTAGAATACTCTAAAAAGTTTTATTATTAAGATAATTTAAGAAAAGATATTAATAGAGACTATTAAAGAAAACGCTAATCTCTTTCAAAACCTCAGATTTAGGGTTTTGGTTAATTTATTTAATTTATTTGCTATGACTATATCACTAGTGAAGAAGAGCAACACAGAGATACAAAATATCCTAAGGAAGAGAATAAACAATCTATGATAGACTTCTGAGATTAAACTAGCTATAAAACATAAAGAAAGGCTTATGTGATTCCATGTTCAATGAAGAAGTCACTAGTTAATAATTGAAAATCTTTCAACCACATATTACATACAAATCAGGTCAATACTGTGTATCTTGCATAAATACATAGTTTCCCTCTCCCCTAACCATTGTGCCTTACTAAAACTATCTAAAAATATATTACAACACCTTCAGTGACCCAACTGAACACAATAAATGTACTTTCCTAAGATGTTCTACCAATGAATCACTCATTGCCTGTACATATGCACTATTTACAGCATAAAGATTATACATTGACCAAAGCATTCTTACATGGTGGATAATATGCTAGAACGCCGCCATTGTTGCATCTGACCACTGACTTCTAGGATCAGCATCCCTTTGGAGGGTCAAATCAGATGTCTGAATGGACAGGCCATTTAGATAATTTCATTTGATTAATGTTCAAACTTTAGCAATGAACTAGCAGTGTCCTTTCTTTTAGGAAGGCCATTGCAAACATTCCCTGTAAGGGTGCTATTAGAATAAAGGGGAGTGTGCTCAGGTATCTGTCACTCACATCCTTTTTGACATAGTATCCTGCACACCTATTAAGGAACTGTGCGTGTGTGTATAGCCACATCTGTATTTTCAATACTCCTGCCTACACATTCTAAGTGTAGTGATTAGACCCAAGAGCTACCTCACCCAGATGATTAAGTATATGTAACACACATATTAATATGTAAACACACAACAGAATTCGAGATCGTGTCATATATTTCTAACAGAAATGGATCCATATCTAAATTAAAGCAGTTAAACAAGATCTTCATTTAAAATAAGCATGACAAAAATTTAAATGCATAAAACATTAATATATCAAATGCATTCATTTTATAGACTACAAAGTTACTTAAGATGAAAAGCTGAAAAATATGAGGTAGTGACACCCAATCAGCATTACTTTGATCTTTTATGAAATATACATTCAAAGACTGTAAGTGAAAGTGGAGCTGAATTCTAAGGTATTGTGGAAAAAGAAATCCATAATCACAGGAAAAGGTAAAGGTAGAAATATATTCAAGAAATATTTACAAAACTAACCAATTTCTATCAGTGACAACAAACAGAAGAGAATACTCCCAATAGCATAAATAAGAGTGGAAGCTGGGCATGGTGGCACATGCTTGGATTTCCAGTACTTGAGAAGTCTGAGGCAGGAGGATCATCGTGTGTTTGCAGCTAGCCTGGGCTATATAGTGAGACCTTGACAAAAAAAAAGGGGGGGGAGCTAAGGACTAGGAACATAACTCGGTTGATAAGGTGCTCACCTTATGGAACTCCGGGTTTAATACCTTGTACCACAAAAAGTGGGCACTGTGAAGCATGACTACAATCTTAGCACTCAGGTAGTGGAGGCCAGAGGATCAGAAATTCAAGATCACTCTAGGTAGTTAAGAGTTTGACACTAGCCTAGGCTATGTCAGAATCTGTTGCAAAAATAAAATAAACAATAGAAAGCAGCCGTTTTTTCTTTTCCTTTCTCTTTTTTTGGTTGGCCTTAGTCCTCAGTCTTTCCTTTTGTCTTTGATAATAATTTGGAACACTTAGTTTAGTTAGTTCTTTTAACATGTTAAAAATAATTCAGGGGTTGAGGATATACCTTTAGTGAAAGCTCACTGCTTAGCATGAAAACCCTGTATTCAACCCACCAGTATTAAAAAACAAAAATAAACTAGGTTACTAACAATGTTGCTTTATACACTATGTCTTGGATAAAACTTGTGTTGTGGTTATTAGTAAAAAAAAAAAAGGGGGGGGGTGGAAAAATCAAATTGAGAGGGAACTCATCCATATAGAAAACAGGAGTTCAAGTGGGTTGATCAATAAGACAGAAGTCTGGATCCACTGGAAAGATTATTAAAATACAAAGACAGGCATTTATGCCACAGTTTTTGGTTTGGTAGATCTGACCAGAGACCCAGGAATTTAATTTCTAACACATTCTTGGATGCTGCTGCTGTTGCTGGCTTGAAGCATACAGTTTGACAGTGAGGGGTCTAAGGAAACAGTAGTAACTGTACAGCTGGGGTTGAATTGTAACTCCATATGTAGACCAGACTGGCCCTGAACTCTGAGGCTCCCCTTCCCCTCCTCCCACGTGCTGCCATTAAAGGCAAGCACCACCACAGCTGGCTGATCATGAAGGTTTTAAGTACACACAAGTGTTACAAGTTTATCACATGCTCAAACAATCCTGTATATACAATCAACATACATACATATCCTGCACACACATATATAAATGTATACATAAAATCTAATGTACAGATTTATAGTGAGAGGGAGAGGGGAAAAAAGAGAAAGAGAGAACATAAAGGGCTGTAATTGATAAATTAGTGGTTCAGGAGATTTCTAAAAAATTAAGTTAAAAATGAATAATTAAGGACTATTCCAGAATCTAACACTATAGGAACAGACTCAGAGTATAAGGTGTTTTTATTGTTCTTGTTGTGTTTGTTTTTAAGACATTTCCCTGTGCAGCCCTGGGCCTGGAAATCTCAGTGAGTTCTAGAGATCCCCCTGCCACTGCTTCCCCAAGTGCTGGGATTCAAAGGCATGGCACAAGCCTACAAGTTTTAATACTAATACCCTACATAAACTTGGAGAGAAATAATACAAATTCAAAATTGTTATCATTAGTAAAATTCAAAATCTTTGTGTGTCATAATCATACATAATTTTTCAGCTTTTTATAAACTGATGTGTTTGTGTGTGGTACTGACTTTTTACATGCTATACAAACATTTTTACCACTGAGCTACAGATCTGGGCCCAACTTATCAATTAAAAGAAAATACTAGTCATAAAAAACAAATCATTTGGCAAATATACTATTTGTAGATAACTATCATCCATTAAAAAAATTTCCTACCAAAATTCTTAGATATACAACACCTGATTTCTGGACCCAGCTGAGCTTTTATTTTACAGACCAAAATGCAAGCAAGAATATATACTACAGTAATCAATGGAGCCGTTCCAACTTCGCTTGGAGGGATTTAAAATTCCCAGTGATGGCTTGTACAGCTACTGAGGAACTCATTGACTGAAGTTCCACAAGATAACCACAGACGGCATCCAGGCAGAGATTTGTAAACCTTCTCCTGTAATGAGAAAGACATCAGGTCACTCATTTACTTTTGATTTTTTATTCTGTATTCATTTATTTGTATGTGTATGCATGCTTTGCCTGCTGTGTGTATGGGCACCATGTACATGTCCAGCACCCTCAGAAGCTAGCAGAGGGCACCAGATACCCTGCAACTGTGGTTATGGATGGTCCTGAGCTGCTATGTGGCTGCTGGGACACTGAGACGGTGCTTGCTTCAGACCCTCAACCAGCTATAGTTAAACCCATTTCTTTCAAATAGTTGTCTCAGACCGAGATTTGATTAACTTTCTTGGAGTCTCAATGAAAAGCAAGGATTAGATAACTCAGGAAACTCTAAGTGCTTCAAAACAGAAAGAGGAACTTACCAAGGTCAGTTACCACCTAAGCTACCTACCGTCTTCAACTGAAGACTGTTAGGATGATTCCTATTAATAATATTTACAGTCTCTCAGGTTTCTAAAAATTCCTTGAAATCACACCACAAATGTAAAACTTGGTTCTATGTCATAGCACCAAAAACAAAGGAACATGCAGTAGTTCATAAATTACTTTCACTTTAGAAAATTTAGCACTACAGTTGAAAATGTTCTACCCTTTCATGAATGCCAACGATCAGGTTATCACACCAACAGTTATTGCTAATGTACTTAAGATATTCCCTAATGCTCTACAGCATTCCATATGCATTCACGAACTTTCACCCAGGTACTCAGTAGAAATAATTAAAAATCTTCCACAATATAATATTTAATTTATAGTTACCTCTCACAATTTAAGACTAGGCTAGGATTCTCAACATATCTTGTCAACAGTACATGGATACAATCCAAAAGGTGCAGTGGGCTTTTCACTCTGTTCCAGAATGGATCCTATGAAGAGAGGAAAAAAAACTTATGTATGTATGTATGTATGTATGTATGTATGTATACACAGACGGGGTTTCTCTTGTAACTTATCAAATGTGTGTGTGCATATTTTTCCTAATTATTTATGTTAATTAAAGTCCTTGGAGTCTATTTTTTTTTAAATTTTTTTTATTTATTTATTATATGTAAGTACACTGTAGCTGTCTTCAGACACCCCACAAGAGGGCATCAGATATCATTACAGATGGTTGTGAGCCACCATGTGGTTGCTGGGATTTGAACTCGTGACCTCTGAAAGTGCAGTCAGTGCTCTTAACCACTGAGCCATCTCACCAGCCCCTTGGAGTCTATTTTTAATTTCTATTAAAAAGCATTAGAAGCTGAACATGGTGGTGCTTCAATTCCCAATGCCCTTAATCCTCAAACCCTGGAGGCAGAGACAAGCAGATCTCTGAGTTTAAGATCACCCCAACTTCTAGATCAGCCAAAGCTACATAGTGAGATCCCGTTTCAACCCCCCACCCCCAAGATATGTAGTTCCTAAATTATATACTAGATTAAGGTCAATATTTGAAATAAAGACCGTGTTTGTGAGGTGGGCTTAGCAGGACACACATTTAATTCCAGCACTAGGGAGGCGGAGGCAGAGGCAGGCAGAGCGAGGCCAGCCTGATCTACATAGTGAGTTCTAGGACAGTTAGAGCTAAGCTAGGGCTACATGGTGAGAGCCTGTATTGACAAACAAAAACAAAAGTTAAAAAAAATTAATTTTGATACTTTTTGCAAAGAAGTGATTTATCATTAGACAATATAATATGAAATTAATGAAAAAAACATTACTTCTACGGATTGTGGCCTACTTTCCTTTGAATTTATGCAGTCTGAACGTAGAGCAAAAGAAACAGTTACAGAACTTTAATCTGTTATTACCCACATGACTAGAACATGCTGATTAATATCTCCATCCTTGTCTTTTAGGAATGTAAGATGAAGTACTATTTTCATTATGGCTTAATTATGAGGCTCAGTTATTACTGAACAAGGCAAATGATGGTTTGGAGGACACGGTTACAAGGCAGATGCTGTGTCACATCATGCACTTAGGAAGCTTAGGTAGGAAGATCTCAAGTTCAAAGCCAACTTGGGAGCCAGGCAGTGGTGGCGCACGCCTTTAATCCTACGACTTGAAAGGCAGAGGCAGGCACATTTCAGAGTTCGAGGCCAGCCTGGTCTACAGAGTGAGTTCCAGGACAGTCAGAGCTACACAGAGAAATCCTGTCTCAAAAAACCAAAACAAACAAACAAACAAACAAACAAGCCAGCTTGGACTATATATGGCAAGATCCTGTCTCAGGAAACCAAAAAGCACTGATAGATAGCACTACTGTGCCCACACATATGCATGTGCACACTCACACATATGTGCACACACCTCTCATATTGTATAGGGTGTCTCATTGAATGCATGGCAAGAAAGCCCCAGGACGCCTGTCTCTGCCTTTCCAGTATTGGGATTAGAAACATACACCACTGCATTTAGTTTTTATAGGGTTCACGGAATCAAACTTGGGATGAGAAGCAGTTTATTGGCTGAGTATCTCCCGATCCCTTACAAAAGATTTTTAAAAAAGAGGTTACATGTATAAATGTGCTACTGTTTTGTGTGCTTAAAGCAAGTAGCTGAGAATTACAGTCTGGTGGTACAGCACTTGTGAAACATGTGCAAGATTATGGGATTTGATCCCCCCAAATAGTCCCTACTCTGGATTATCTATGAAGATGAGAGTAAATACAAATAATTATGCTTACCAATATAAAATATTAGCACTTCATTTTAGTTATGATATACAGCAAAACATCTCTCAGTTAAGAGTCCATAGTTTATTTTACTTGCACCTTTGAAGTGTATCTCCACTGAGAACATTCAACCTACATGATAACATACCTACACCTGCAGTCAAAGCACCTGACTCTGTATCTTGGAAGATGTATCTGTATCATTTTGCTTTCCTTACCCGTGATTTGAAGAGCTGATCATAAACTTCTAGTAGCCTAGGTAAAGGCACGCCGATTTCATTCATGGTCTGTATCACAAACCCCACATCCCAGTTTAAAGTACAAACTTGCTGCTCCAAGAACTGAACGATAAAATCTGGGGGGAAAGTCAGAAATAAGAATTATTAAAGGTTCATTTGTATTTCTTAACAATGAGTGCTTTGCCTGCATGTATGCATATATACCATATGTATACTTGGAGGGAAAAGTCAGAAATAAGAATTATTAAAGGCTCATTTGTATTTCCTAACAATGAGTTCTTTGCCTGCATGTATGCATATATACCATATGTATACTCGGTGTTAGTGAAGGAGAGAAGTGAGTATCCTCTCTTAGAACTGCAGTTACACTCCTTTGTGAGCACACATATGGATGCTGGGAAATGAACTCAGGTCCTCAGCAAGAACTAGTGTTCTTATAACTAAGCCAGCTACCAAGTCCCAGAAATTTGGACTTTTAACTCTTGATACAGCAAACTGTCCAACTGTTTTATAAACATGAGTAGTTTCAAGTGGCTATCTGAAAATGAATTTCAAACCTATTTGACGGCTAATAAGGTAGGTCATTTGGGAAAATGTTTCTTTTTAAAGCATGAAAACATGATTTTGACAATATAAATATTTTAGATATGATGGTATAAGCTTGCAACTTTAGCACTATCTTCTCACACTCAATCTCTCTCTCTCTCTCTCTCTCTCTCTCTCTCTCTCTCTCTCTCTCTCTCTCTCTCTCTCACACACACACACATACACACACACACACACACGTCTCCTGACCTCCACACTCCTTTCGTGACCGTGCACGAGCACCCACACCTATGAGAACACTGCTTTTCCAACAGTATAATCACTTAAACTATATTGTTTATCAGTAAACAAAATTCCAAAAATGCTACTGAAACTTGAAGAGCTATTCCAAAAAATTTCATAGTCACCTGTTCAGTAACAAATTCTGTTATCCTTCAGGGATTTTTTTCTGGAGAGTCAGAATTAAAACTGCTGAACTAAACAGCAAATAGATGAGTAGCAAAAAGAAACTCTATAAGCCAATGATGTTTTCCAATGGAGAATAACTATTAAACGGAAAATAAGATAGCAAGGTCACTGCTTACCCAGAGGGAAAAAACGGGGTGTGCCAGCATAGATTTTGCCAAGGAGGACAAGCTTGAGGCTAAGAGCATGCATTCGATCTGATGAGCTCAATGTTACGCTATCATTCAACTCTGGAAGAGACATGTCAATAGAAATCATGATTACTTTAAATGTGATATGTTTACATTGATGACTTAATTCCTTAAAGATGAAAATACTTCAGGACTGATGTCAGCATTGAATGTAAATAGAAGATTCTGGGCTTCTGGGTATCACTGGTTACTGGTAATGGTTAATGGTATTGATTACAAGATTTTGAGTGAAATATGTAAATTAATTATGAGGTGGTATACATTAAATAAACTATATACCCTATCACAAATATTCACCAGGGTCATACTGGTGCATCACCTGTGCACCATGTATGCATCATGTATGTACTGTATGCACAGGTCCTCCACATCCTTTCTAGTAGGTATATATAGCCCTTTTCCATAAGCCCTACATATCAGCTATATGATATTCTTCTGGATCCCTAGAAACTATATAATAATGTATCCTATAACTGAACTTACCTTTCTCTATGATATCTTGCCAAAGTGTATGTACCAATATGGGATCTGAATAACCAGCACAATGAATGATTGCAAGTTTACATTCTGCGAGTTTAAATGGGTCAGCGAATTCCCCATAAAGCTGTGGGAAAGAAATATCAAAATTAAACATTCAATTATGGGTCAGTGTTTTGAGATATTAAGTCAAGTATACCTTTCAATTAAAAACAATTAAATATTTTATCTAAAGTATATAAAATACATTACAAGATGAGTAGACATTATACAATATTTAGAAACAAGTATTTTAAAATATGTGTATGCACACAAGACACACTGGGAATAGGACCCCAGTTTAAATGTGAAATACACTTAGTCCAAGGGAAATTTTACACAAAATTTTTAACAATACCAAGTGTTTCAATGGTGACTCAGTACATAAGATCATGTGTGGAATTTTCCACTTGCAGTGTTGTACTAGTTAGTGCTCAAAGTTTCAGGTTTGAACCTTTTCTTTTGAGACAGGGTCTCCATTTGTACCCTCAAACAGGTTTCAGCATGCCTGTGCTATTTTAGGAGCTCTTGAGGCAGAGGTAGGCAGATCTGGGAATTCAAGGCCAACTTGGTCTACAGAGCAAGTTCCAGGACAACCAACACCACACAGAGAAACCCTGTACAAAGCACTTAGAACCATGTACAAGAAAGAGTGTCTACAGAAGAAGACACTGTAAGAACCATGGAGAGCAAAAGATGCTCAACTAGATAAGCAAAGATAAACCATGAGGCTACCAATGATCTGGTTCTAAGCTGGGTGTGATGGCACAAGCCTGACATGCCAGCAGGGGCAGGAATGACACAAGTTCAACACCAGCAGGGTCTCCAAACACCAAATCAAAACTTTAACGACAAAACAATAGCAACAACAAAAAAGTCTGCTGGTTTTAACAGGGCTCCCAGGAGGCTATTGTGACTGGTCTGGCAGGAGCAGCTCTGCCTTTTCTAGGAGTCATACTAAAGTCACGTGCAGCAGCTGGAACCTATCCAGCCAGTGACAAGCTGTCAAAGAGAACCTCAGTTACTTACCCATGAAGCAAATCAGTATCCCCCCCAAATCTTACACACACACACAGACACAGGATTTCTATAAACAAAGTAACTATCCCAGGAATTTCACTGGATTTCTGTTACCTTAGTAATATCCATGAGCTCAGAATCCAGCTGAGAAATTGCATCCTGCACTGAAGAATGATGGGAGTACTGCCTTTGTAATGTCTCTTGTATCTGAAGTTGGATCCTAGCAACCTAGTTTCAACAGAAAATAAATACAATGCATTAATATCCTTATAATACTCAACAGGTACTTGAAGAAGTAAGAAATAATCTCTTGTCCAAAAGTTCAAGTTGCTAAAGTGAAGAGAGTATATTAATACTACAGACTTATATTCCAAGAGACTATCCTCTCAAGGTAACTAATGCCACAGGAAATGAGATGTGACAAGGAATATTGCTCCCCAAAGTCACTGCCATTAGTAACTCAATAATCACCGACAAATTTCTAGGCTGGATCTCCAGCTGCCAATGTGATTGGACCTAAGTCCCTCCAGAAATGAGAAAGGAAGTCAACCATTTTATGTCAGGGCTATGGTTTTCAAAGAGGAAATGTGCATCCTGTAAAGTTTATCTTTTCTTCCTCCACCAGGTAACAGAGTCTTCATTCCAAACGTGAACATGAGAAGGAAAGCCAGCAAGACATTTACCTAATGTCTGTAAGAAATAACTTCTTTCATTTAGATAACAATAAGATTTTTAGATCTCAGTTAAAGCAGCTCAGTCTACTCCTTACATTTGCTTATCATATCCCAGAATACGTGATAAATGTCACGTGATCCAACTGCCGCTCATCAGTTGAGAAAATAAAAATTATGGATAAGCTAAGGGAGAATCTTCCAAATTATGCCTTTATGTCCTAAACACCGTTTCCTTAACATTTACATCCAAATATGACATAGGTACACATTCACAGGCAGGCAGACACGTTTAGAATTTACAATGACTTCAGCAGAACTAGAGTCACGGTTAAGAGTAGACAGTAGTATAACTCCTCTACACGCTGAAGCCTAAGTATTTAGTACTTACTTCCATCTTCTCTTCTAATTCATGCAGGAATTCACCATCTGCAGCTATGGAAGAAATGGCAGTGGAACTCTTTGCACTAAGAATGGCTCGAGCAATGTATTCTAGTCGCTGCTGAAGTGAAATTTCTGTGCTAGGAAGAGAAATCTGTAATTTTAGCTACAGTTCCTTAAGATTCAAATATATCAAGTAAGACATACTATTTTAAGACCAGAACACAAAAGGCTTTTGAAGAAATGTAAAAAATTATTATTATTGATTTTTTTTTTTTCAAACACCGGGTCTCACTATACAGACTGCCTGACTGGCCTGGAACAGGCATTAATCATCTTGCCTCCGCCTCCTAAGTTCTGAAATTACAGATGTTCACTGTCATGTTTGGCCAATTACTTTAGCTTTCTAGTAATAAGTTCATGACTTTAGGTAACAAATACTCATGCCTATGTCAAAAACATGAAATTCTGCTGTTGCTGGAATCATTGGGTATCCTACATTGGGAAGCATGTTACTGGGAAAACTGGTGTTCCCTTTTTTGTATTAATAAAAGAATTAACATATGGATTAGAAAGAAGACTCAATGGCAATTTTACCACTGTTTCAGAGAAAAGCAACAGAGCAGGTAAGCTGCAAACCCTGGCACCTGCCTGGGGGAGGAAGATGAAGAAAATAAAAGGAAAACCAGTACTATTTAGAAGTGGTCATGTGAGGAGCTAGGAGTCAGAGGCAAAGGCAGGTAGATCTCTGTGACACAGAGGCTAGGCACAGATAGAGTGAGTGATACAGCCCAAAGAATTGGGGATTCAAGGCTTTGGGAAAATAGAGACAGAAAAAAGAAAAACAGTAACTGAGAAAAGTGACTATAGCAAGGCCATGGTTTCTTCAAGAATAAGTGGATTGTCCCATTAAGGGGACAATCCTCCCTGTTCCTAGCATGTCTTCAGGTGAATTAGCTTTCCTGTAGGCTAGACTCATGGACAGATGACTGACAGAACAACTGGATTAAAACATTTACTCTCACATAATAGTGTATAACATTTAATCTTAGGAGCAAATCAGAATGTCATGACTTTCTTAGCCAGAGAAAAAAAACAACTTAGGGACTAGAGACGGCTCAGAGGTTAAAAGCACTGACTGCTCTTCCATAGGTCCTGAGTTCAATTCCCAGCCACCACATGGTGTCTGGTGCCCTCTTCTGGTGTGTTTGAAGACAGTGACAGTGTACTCACATATATAAAATAAAATAAATACATCTTTGAAAAAAAAAAAAAAAAGACAAGACACAATTTCCCTTAATGAGATTCATCAGAATCCTAACATCCATCTTCAATGGTCTCCCTAGACTACTTTAACATCCCCTGAACAGCTGAGATCCTAAATCGTTTAAGAGACCAGATGAAACTACAGATGCATGAAACTCTCTCAGTAAGGAAACAAACAAGCTCATTGGCTCATTGGGAGCCTCAGATCAAGCAGTATTAAACTACGCTTTGCAGGCTGCTGACAAGGTAACTCAGCAGACACAGGCAATTTCCACCTAGCCTCACAACTCAAGTTTGACCCAGGGTGGGAAGAGAGACTGAGTACCTCAGGTTGTCCTCTGACCCTCTCACGAGGTGTGGCACCTATGCACCCATACTGACACACAAATGGAATATAATAGAAAATAGACGGCAAACCCAGGTCTAATTTGCATCAGAGAAAAACTCGCTTCCTTTCTTTTCAAGGCCTCACGTGCCAGGGGTGCTGCGTTCCTTTAATTGCTCCCCCTTGAAGTTACACATAACATGCTCCATGAATTTAGGAACTCGGTTGCTAAAAGAGATTTCCTTTTCTCCCCCTGTAGTCACTATCTCCACCCCAAGTAAACTAAACATTTTTTTTAAATTTTAAATAATTTTATGTATATGAGCACACTGTCACTGACACACCAGAAGATCCCATTACAGACAGCTGTGAGCCACCATGTGGTTGCTGGGAATTGAACTCAGGGCCTCTGGAAGAGCAATCAGTGCTCTTAACCACTGAGCCATCTCTCTAGTCCCCTAAATTAAAAATTTACAAGTAACTAAATAAAGACGTAGAGAGATGTCTGAGCGTCCAAGTCAGGCGGCTCACAAATGGCCACAGCTCAAGTTCTGGATGATCTGATGTTCTACAGCCTCTGGGCAGATGCGAACACACAAACACACTGATTAAAGATAAAACAAATCTTTGAAAAGATATTCTTAGCCAGGCAGTGGTGGCGTACACCTTTAATCCCAGCACTTGGGAGGCAGAGGTAGGCAGATTTCTGAGTTCGAGGCCAGCCTGGTCTACAGAGTGAGTTCCAGGACAACCAGGGCTACACAGAGAAACCCTGTCTTGGAAAAAAAAAAAAAAAAAAAAACAAACAAGATATTCTTAATGAAGAAAAAGCCTGAGAGCAGAGACTGAATGAATGGGCAGGTAATCTCATGAGGAGGAATTACAGGTGTGAGTAACAGATGCTCTTGGAAAAGAATTTCTAAGTACAAGAATATTATGATTTTTATAAAGATGGGGCCATTAAGAGGTACTGTTGAAGCAACACAATGAAATCAAATGATTCTAGGTAATTGAAATGTTAGTGCTATCTATGACTTCCTAAGGACAGGTAAGAATAATCCTAAAATGAGACACAGAAAGCCTGGATTAGGCTTCAACCAAAACGTACTTCTAGCACGATCCACAACAAATGCACTAAATCATATAACTTTAAAATATGCAGCCATGATGGATTGAAACTCTCTCTCTCATCTTCCCCTTTTGCTGTGGTAGAGATGGAACCCAGGGCCTAGAATACGTTAGCAAAGTACCCTACCACTCTGGTATATCCCCAGCACTAATAACCTTAATTCTTAAACTACAAAAGCAACAAATTAACCTTTTTTGGAAGTTGCCTTTTAAGTAGGGTGATGTTGGCACACAGCTTAAATTCTAGCACTTGGGAGATAGAAGCAGGTGTTCGAGGATAGCCTGATCTAAATAGGATAGCCAGGATAGCCAGGACTACAAAGAGAAACTGTCTGGAAAAACAAAACTAACCAAACAAAAAACCTGTCTTTTATTATATCAAAACTTAAGGTCATTTTATACTGTGTATGTTGAGGGCAGCTTTTAGAATTGAATGATCACAGAGGGCAAGGAGGCCAAGAAAGCTTTGGGTAGACATACAATGAACACTCCTACCTCCCCCACCCCCAGTATCCCTACACAGATAGACCACCACTACTACTACTAGTAGTTACTTCCTACTAGCCATAAGTGAACTCTCAATTTTCTTCTTCAGGGAGCGGTCACTGGAGACTGAACTACCTAGGGCCTTGTGCAGGCTAAGTATGTGTTCTACCAATGGGCTACCCTCACAGCCCTTCCCCACTCTTCTGATAAGACAAACACACGCGCGCACACACACACACACCTCTATCCTACTCCAGAAATGAGACTCTCTGATGCCTTCCTTACCTGTGCATGTCAGCCAACTTGGACAGGACCCGAGCAGCACTGCTGAAACTCCTGTTCTTCTCATAATACCTCCAGAGTAAATCCATATAGCGGACTCGGTTTTGATCCACTTTGGCCATTCGGACAAGATGTGGCTCGAGAAATGGAGACGCAATCTAGAAATTACAGTCACACAGAAAATGTTTGCAATCACCTAGGTGCTTTTAAAGTAGAAACCAGCATTTGTATTCTACCAGTAGGCTACCCTCACAGCCCTTCCCCACTCTTCTGATATAAGATCTCTCAACTGCCTGGGCTAACCTTCCTGGGTTCAAATGGACATAAATGTGCACGTATACACACACACACACACACACACACACGCTTTTTTTAAAAAAAAATATGGAAAACTGAATACAACATCAATAAGTAAAGTAAAAAATTTACTCAGTACAAGTGACTTTCATTATACTAATGAAGAACTTTCTGTAACACACCAATAAAAAATAAATTTGCTGTAAAATTCTAATTCTTTTAATGAACTTTGATAATACAGTTACTGACTCTTGGCTCAATCAAAAGGCACCCTTGGCACTAACAAATCCCAAGTCTTAAGTTTATACATCAATGAACAACTGAGACTTAGGAAAAAAAAAATCTTTGGCCAGGTGTGACAGCACACACCTTTAATACCAGCACTCAGGGGGCAGAGGTAGGCCGGGTGTGATAGCACACACCTTTAATACCAGCACTCAGGGGCAGAGGTAGGAGGATCTCTGTGAATTTGAGTACACCCTGGTCTACAGATATTTTTTTTTTTTTTTAGGTCTACAGATCTTGTTCCGGGCATCCAAAGACAGAGCCTAATTACTAACCCAAAGACTTCTAACCAACAATGCTACTATTCAGATCAGCCGCTAAACAACATTAAAACAGTGTATTTTGCTTCATAGAAAAGGAAATTATATACTTAGCCATATGCTAACACCTAACGTTATACACAGGATAAAAAACTAATTTCCTATATCTATTCAAACTATTATTATACAACTTGGACACATAAATTGACATAAACTATATTGCAGAAACAATCTTTGTACCTGTAGTAGTTTATCTGCTAGGTCAGCTTGTATTAGCCAGTTATAAAGAGCAATACTGAAGAGCTCGTCCTTGGATCGCTGAGCCAATTTAAGCATTTGTTCAAACTAAAATAAAGAAAGGAACAGTGAAAATTAGCATAGCTAAAGCCTTACTTACAATACCCCCACTGACCTGAGGGCAAGGAAACAAGTTTAGCAGTAAGAAGAGCAACTACCGTTCCCAGTGATTATACCTCCACTACCCCAAGGTACTTTCAAACCCACCCCGCTTCCAGAGTGGAAGCAAGCCTGTCCCTTACGTGGTGTCCTGCTTCTTCGTTGCTCAGCATGTTAGGATCAGATGACAGCACTGGAGGACCAGGTTTTTTGGGTACACTAGGAGACTGAGGAGCTGCCTTACTCTGATTTACCAGTTCTTGCAGCGTATCTGTAATGCACTTGTAACTGTTTAATCTGAAAAAGAAAAGGGTCAATCACATTGTTTAACTAGAAAATACTTTTCTCATCTTCCATCAAGCCAGGATACAGAAAACCCTGTCTCAAACAATCAAGCAAACAGACAGTCAGTCATAATATCTGCATCTAAATCTAATACTCAGAGGCTGAGGCAGGATTGAGTTTGAAGCTTGTTTGGAATTGGAGAGATGGCTCAGTGGTTAAGAACCCATCACACTCCCAGATGACTAGGGTTCAATTTCCAGCATCTCCAAGGCAGTCTGAGATATCAGTTACAAAAAAAGATGTACGCATATGCAGATCAGACACCTATATACATAAAATAATAATGATGATGATAAAATTTACACCAAAGCACTGTATATACTCTATCCCTCTCTCAAAAAAATCTAATATATTTTTTTCAAAAGATCTGAAACCTATTTGGTTAAACAAATAACAAGAATTTGTAAAATTAGTATAATTCTTTAAATCTACAGATTATGGCAATGTAAAAGACTTTTTCTTTTGGGGAAAAAAAAAATTTATTTTCACCTGGAACTAGGTATGAGAGGAGTCAGTTTTGTTCTCAAATCAGAGATCTCAAAAACTACAATAAGTAAAAATAAATAAATAAATAAATAAATAAATAAATAAAAGGAAGACACTCCCACAGGTACTGGAGCAAAACAGTTTATAAGGTACAGGTGTGGTGATACGTGCCTTTAGTCCCAGGATTTGGGAGGAAGGGAGAAACTGATCACTGAGTTTAAGGCCAGATTGGTTTACAAAGATTTCTGGACTGACCAGGGATACATATTTCAAAAATAATAAGAACTAACAAAAAACATTTTTCAGGCTGAGATGGCAGCTCAGCAGATGGAACTGGCTGCTCTACAAGCACGAGGACCTGGGAACAATTTTCCAAGACCATAGGCAGGAGTGGCTGCCCTGTCCATGTTAGCAACTCCAGCACTGTGGGACCAGGGACTGCTTGGACTTGCTGACTGCCAGCCTAACTGCAGCTTCAGTGAGAAGCCCTGTAAAAAAGCAGACTGGAGCATGACAGAAAACAGGACACCTGATGTCTTCACCTGACTTCCAAGCATGCATATAACACATGTAAAAACACTTGTATGTGCTTCCTCAATTTTCCTAAGACTAAATAAAATCTTACATATAAGCTAGGAATTTAACCATGACTCAGGAATTAATAAAAACACAATTCTTTTTATCTGAGATCACAAGGGTTGTACTCGAAATGTTCTTTTCCTATACTATCAATAAAAACTTTATACAAAAAAAAGGTCTGTCTCTAAAAGCCCAACAATCGGCTAAGGGTTGAGAACTCACCTCTCCTGGAAAGTCTGGAGACCAACGACATCCTCTTCTGGTTCCCCGTGTTTATAGAAATGGAGTCCAAGGCCCTGGGGATCTTTTTTCTCGGCAGCAGTAAGAGAAAGTTCCACCACACCCTCATAAAAGCGCACTGATGAGAAAGACAAAGGCCAGGGCTTAGAGCTGACTACTGTGCTGCAAACGCTCTCCTAGGCAGGTATAAAAAGGACCATAGTGGAACGCTGTGTTTCTATTAAACACTTGTTATTCTGGCAATGGCATTGCAAAAATAGTTCTGATGTGTTTATTTAAAAAAAAAAAAAGGTCTAATATAGCAGATATTAATGGATCCCTCCTTGAGAAAAACCTTCATATATAAAATAGCAAGTTTCAGAGGAAAAAACTTGTGATTCAAATCTGTGCTGATATAGTTTTTACTTTTAAAACTAGTCAAAAATTTTAGGCATTTTAAAATTAAGTATAATTTAATAGTATAGCTTAAAAAGAACCAAAATGCCAAAAACATATTAGCCAGACAGAGAGGATCGTGTATAATCTCAGGCTTCAGAGGAGGAGGCAGAAGGATGAGAAGATGGAGGCTAGCCTGGACTACAGAGAGTTCGGTTCATGGCCAGCCTGAGTTACATGTAAGATTGTCTCAAAAAATAAATTCGCACTAGCCTCGCATGTACAAGTGCTAGTCTGCTCCCCAGTAGGAAAAGGAAAAGGGGAAACAAAGTAAATAAAAGCAAACCACACAATTCAAAGTATCACTTTGTCCAAAGATGCTAGAAGCTCTGTGTCTGAGAAGAGACTCTAGCTCACTCTGCTGCACTCACACAAGGCCTCGTGTCCTCTGAGAAGAGACTCTAGCTCACTCTGCTGCACTCACA